GTTATATATGCTAATATGCTTGTGGGACAAAATGATTTATATTATATATGCTAATATGCCCTACCCTCTGTGCTAGGGCTGGAGCGATAGCACAGCGGGTAGGGCGTTCGCCTTACAAGCGGCCAACATGGCCGACCCGAGTTCGATTCCTCCACCCCTCTCGGAGAGCCCGGCAAGCTACCGAGAGTATTCGATATGCCAGACACAGTAACAACAAAGTCTCCAATGGAGACGTTACTGGGCCCGCTCGAGCAAATCGACGATCAACGGGAGGGCCTTTACCTTTTATGCTAATATGCTTGTTGGACAAGGAGAGGAGAAACACACTCATGGGATACCGCTCTAGGGTGGGTCGTCCTGCTCAGAGAGGATCTGTCCTAGGAGCAGCTTTCCCTGAGGGAAAGAATTCTACCCCTATTGATTGTGACCACACCTGTAATTGTTACCACAATCCTTCATCCTGGGAGATATAATGAGACTGTAGAATGGGCAAGGGGAGGCAGAGGAGAGAGACCGGAGTGAATGGAGAGAGGATTGGAATAAACTGCAACTAAGACCAACCAGCCTGGCCCTCGTTTCCTTCCTTACCTCCCCTGGGTGGGGGAAGCAGGGTGAGACTATCACACGCGGGTGGCGGGAGAGACAGAGTCGCCACCGCAGCTGTGCCCTTTTTGAGTTTACACATCTGGCATCCCTGGGTGGGCCTGAACCACTAACCTTTCCGTTAATAGATGAAGCTGTGCCCTTTTTGAGTTTACACAGAATGCTGCATGAGAACTCACTCCTCAGCAGACTGGAGCAGGGCAGTGTCCAGCCCTGGGCCCAGTATACACTGTGACTCAGACACAACAAGGCAAGTGACAAAGCCTTTAGAGGCTTTTTCTCAAGAGGGGTCATTTACTCTATTTGTTTCTCCTTTTGTTTCACCAGGGGGTGCTGAGGACTCACAGCTGACTCTGCACTCAAGGGTTCTCTCCTGGTGGCTCCAGGGATCAAATGGGGTATGGAGATCAAACACTCATCAACCGCATGCAAGGCAAAAACCTTACCCACTGGACTGTCTCTCTGGCCCTGAGGTGAGTAGCTTGACTTTAAAGTCTAGTCCAGTGCCATAGAGGAAAGGGGGATTTCCCATGGAGACAGCTGACGGCACACTTTAAGTAGAGAACACGCTGGCTATTTTAGAATCCAGGTCCCTAACCCATGTGGAGGATGCTAACTAGGAGGAAGCTGTCTCAACCTTGCTATGATATTTCAGGCCAACTCTCTTCCCTCGCTGGCCTCCCGCTGATCCTGCCAGCTACACCAGCACAGGTTTCTGGTGCCTTCCAGATCTGAATCCCTGGGCCTACGATTTGGAGGGATTTTCTGCCAATAGGTTTGAGGGGCCAGAGCGTTAGCACAGCGGGTAGGGTGTTTGCCTTGCAAGTGGTCGACCCGGGTTCAATTCCTCTGTCCCTCTCGGAGAGCCTGGTGGGGCAAGCTACCGAGAGTATCCCGCCCGCACGGCAGAGCCTGGCAAGCTACCATGGCATATTCAATATGCCAAAAACAGTAACAGCAAGTCTCACAATGGAGACGTTACTGGTGCCCACTCCAGCAAATCAATGAACAATGGGAGGACAGTGCTACAGTGCTACAGATTTGATGGCGAAGGGGATTAGGTTTCCTAGGTGGACAGCACCATCTCGTGGGCACGTCAGAGTAATACAGTAGGGACTGGTCAGACCCAGGGTTGATGCCTCTCCTTTAGTCCCTCAGGAATATGCTGTTCCTCAAACACCATCCCTGGTCCATGAGATTGGCACCACCTGGAGCTTCTGAGGTGGCAGCATCTCCCCTCCTGGGCCGGGTCCTGCCTCTTCTCAAGGTACAGGTAAGTCTGTGCACATCGTAAGAAGCCTGAAAATAACTGCTTTGCCGAAGGAGAAAAAGGAAGCCAATGAATTGGGAATGTTATGTTTCATCCATATTTGACCATCAAGAAACATGCAAGTAGCCCGTTTAAATAAAATGAATCCTGCCTAGCTGACAAAAAGGGGCTTGTCCAGCAACAAAGGTTCAGTTTCCTGGGAGACTGAGCACCTGCTTTGCATGAAGGTTGGTCCCAACATCCCTGGGAGCAACCCCTCAATACAGAGATGGGAGTAACCCCCAAGCACTACCGGGAATGGTTCCCTACCCTCAGTCCCCGAAAATGTTCTTGGGAATTGATAGAGTTTTTTTTTTCTTTTTGGGTCACACCCAGCAATGCTCAGGGGTTACTCCTGGCTTTGCACTCAGAAATTATTCCTGGCGGTGCTTGGGGGACCATATGGGATGCTGGGGATCGAACCCGGGTCAGCCACGTGCAAGGCAAACGTCCTACCCACTGTGCTATCACTCCGGCCCCGGGAATTCTTACAGGTTTTTAAAAGGGAATCTTTTCACCTGTAAGCAGGCATCTTCCAGAAAGAGGGGCACCTCTGAAGCCAGTTCCAAATGCACCTGCATCATCTACAATATTAGTCAAATAACCCACTGGACCAGGGAAAGCAAAATTCCAGGCCAATCTGCAGAATTCTTGTGTCCTGGCCCCCACAGTTCCTTCCCCTCGAGAGTGAGCAGAACCTGGAAGATAGTGGGATAACATTTTAAAAAAACAAATTTTGTAGGATGGCATTAAGGCCGCTAATCATTTAACTTTTAAGTTTTTTAATGTCAAATGAAGTTGACTTTTTAACCTCATCAGCTGACTCTGAACTTAAGTCTCAATTTAACTTTTAACTTAAAACTTAAATCTTTTTCAACAAAGGAAATTATACTGGGTAGACCTGATTTAATTCAGTGAACCCTAAAAAGAAATAATATCATTTAGCAACACACCCTCTCCTACTGGCTGAATCAGCAGCAAACTCATGCTAATGGAGAGGGGTTAAAAACTACCAATGGCCTTTTAGAGTTGTTTTAAGTTGCTGAATCATAAAATCTTTCAAAGCTGTTATTAATATATTCTGAGAACTAATGAAATCTGTTCAAAGGATTAATGGAACATGTGTTAACATTAAATCAATATATTGGGGATCTCAGCAGAGAAACAGACATCATCAGATGTTTGAAGAACCAGAGAGATATTTGGAGTTGAAAGTACTGTAACTGAAATTTAAGACCAAAAAAACTCACAAAGCTTCATGATGTTGGGGCTGGAGAGATAGCACAGCTGGTAGGGCGTTTGCCCTGCACTTGGCTGACACGGGTTCGATTCCCAGCATCCCATATGGTCCCCTGAGCACGGCCAGGAGTAATTCCTGAGTGCAGAGCCAGGAGTAACTCCTGTGCATTGCCAGGTGTGACACAAAAAGAAAAAAAAAAAGCTTCATGATATCAACAGGTTTGAGATGGCAGAAGATGTGAAATGAAAAGCTTACTCATTAGACATTATCTAACTTAAAGAACAGAGAAAGGAGCAGCAAAAGCTAAGACGAAGACCATCCCATATTGACTTTTTAAAGCTCTTTTTCTCAAAATCTCAGTGAATCCCAAGGATGATAAACACAAATCCACTACACCTAGACATCTATTCTTTTTTCTTTTGTTGTTTTGGGGCCACATCAAGAGATGCTCAGGGGTTATTTCTGGTTCTGCACTTAGGAATCAATCACTCTCGGTGGGGCTTGGGGGACCATCTACGATTTCAGAAGATGAACCCAGGTCGGCTGTGTGAAAGGCAGTGCCCTTCCCGCTGTGCTATCACTCTATGTTTACACCAAGAGACATACTAAACTGTTAAAACACACACACACACACACACACACACAGAAAAATCTCAAAGCAGCAAGAGAAAAATGACTCGCTACATATAGGCAAATGGCACATATATGGGTAATATAAGAGAATGTGGGGCTGGAGTGATAGCATGGTAGGTAGAGCATTTGCCTTGCATGTAGCCAACCTGGGTTCAATCCCTGGCACCCCATATGGTCCCCTGAGCACTGCCAGGAGTGATTCCTGAGTACAGAGTCAGGAGTAAGTCCTAAGAACTGCGGGAAGTGGCCCCAAAACAACAACAAAAAAGTAAGCAAAATAAAAAAAAAATATTCCATGATATCACAGTGGGGGTGGGAGGGTTACAATTCTACTGATGCAAATGTGCTGTCTTTTACTGGAAATAACAGGAAGAAGTTGAAAAGAGTGTGATAAGTTCAGAAAGAATATTATGGGAACCCCTGAAAAACACGGCTATGAAATCCACAGAAAACTTTCTCTTCCCCACGAGACTGACAAAGAAGTGGGTGTGGCCTCCACCAAAATAAATAACGAAATAGCATTTTTTTTTCTTTTCGGGTCACACCTGGCAATGCACAGGGGTTACTACTGGCTCTGCACTCAGGAATTACCCCTGGCGGTGCTCAGGAGACCATATGGGATGCTGGGAATCGAACCCGGGTTGGCCGCGTTCAAGGCAAACGCCCTACCCTCTGTGCTATCGCTTCAGCCCCACTAAATCGCCTTTTTATTAAATACGTAAATACGTCAGTAATCTCTCAATGCCCAGAAGGAACCAATGCCAGATTTTACCTATCTACAGGGAGGAAACACCCAACCCAGCGTGTGAGGTAGTACCAAGGGATGCAAAGTACATGCCGTGAGTCTGATTTCCTGGGAACTCATGCAGACATGCCCTGGGAACTACTGCAAATACCAACTTGAATTATATACCTCTTTTCTAGAGGAAATAAAACAACACAATAGGAAAAAATAATAGAAAAATATTTGAAAATTTTAATTCCCTGAAAACCACGAGTGAACATTTGATGGTTACTGAAAACGGGGGTATTTGGGAACCGTGGCAAGTGTTTCCAAACCAGTACCAAGTGCATTCACAGTATGCACCGAATCCCACCCCACCTTAACCTACGGCATCGGAGGCAGGCAGCTGAGTGGGCGCTCTGTCGGGGAGCCCGGCCCCTCTCTGCTGGGCCCAGGAGCTAGGGCCCTCACTTCCAGTGTGCTCCCGCCTGTCATAGCATCTGTTCCTGGAAGAACCACTGCTGACGGCTTGAGAGGGTGCAGTCCCGTAAGAGTGGGACAAACTTGTCGTTGGATTCCTTCTCGGCCTGAACACATTTCTTCGACTGTTCGTGAAACAAAGAACCATCCTAGGAAAGATCACAGGCAATTTCAGAGAATGACAAGTGATTGCTCACAGGATTTTTCCTGAAAATGTGTTCTTGCAGGGCCGGAGCAATAGTACAGCAGGGAGAGCATTTGCCTTGCACATGGCTGAACCGGGTTCGATCCCTGGCATCCCCGATGGTCCCCCAAGCACTGCCAGGAGTCGTTCCTGATTGCAGAGCCAGGAGTAACCACTGAGCATCGCCAGGTGTGGCCCCCAAACCAAAAAAATAAAATTTGAAAATAATTTTTTTTAAAATGTTTTCCTAAGCCTGTGGATCTTTTTTTTTTTTGTCCTTTCAGAAATATATATATATAGAAATGTCTGCACTGGGTGAAGAAACCCAGAAGGTCTGGGGCACAGAGGTACAGCCTGTCATACAGCCTCCCTCTGACCCAAGAATCATCACCCTTCCAGACTCCACTTCTCATTCCTAACTGTAACATTTTTCTACCAGAAAGTGTCCTCTACTTTCTTCTCATACATAGAATGAACCCTTTGTAAGTATGACAGAAGAATCTTCCCATCCCTGGGGCCAGGCTGAGAACGAATCCAAGGAAAGAGGACAGGTTTTTTGGGGGTTTTTTTTGGTTATTTTTCCTTTTTCATTCTTATTATTTGTCTCCTCTACAGTGCTCAAACCGTGCTTGAATGAGCCAAAGGTACAGCCGAATTACAAATCACCTCAAGAGTCCACAGCAGAGGGGGTCACAGCCTGAGGGACCTAGTGCCTCTTGGGCCTGCATCCACTGCCCGCTCCAAATCCACAGTGATGGAGAACAGACCCCAGCGGGGGTAGTGTACACTGCAAGGAACATTTCTGTGAGGGGTGGGATACTAGGGTCCTCAGGGGTCACTTCTAGAGGAGCCTGGGTACCAGAGGTGGTGCCAGGGATTGAACCAGGGATGGCTGCCCACAGGACAAGCACCTTAGGAAATCCCTGCCTGGCCCTGTGCTACAAGTGACAACTTAGCGCCCCTGCCTGGGCTTGACAGCTTCCAAGGAAGCTGCCGGCTATCCACCGAGTCCTTCCTAGAGTTGGCCAAAGCTATGGGTACTGCCCTCGTTTTATTTGGTTCACCTCTTAAGTTATTTATTTACTGGAGGGGGTCCTCCAGACCACTCTTGGGATAGAAAACAGTGGAGATTTGGGCCAAGCAGGCCATCTGCTTGAATGCTAAGAACTGAGGAGGTGATGCTTAGGTCCTGCAGTGCTGGGGGCCACCAGGGCCATCCCAGTGATGCTCAGGACCTCCAGGGCTGCAAATGGTGAAGCTCAGGAGGGGCCACGTGGGATAAATCCAGGGCTAGGTGTGTGCTTTGGTGACCCCTGTAACCATCTCCCCTTCCGCTCCCCCTGATTCCAGAGCTGGGGAAAATGGGGGTGAGGTTTACAGAAGTAGAACAGTTTCCCCACCACCCCAACCCTCCCCCTGCAGGATCTGCCCTCACATCTGCTTTAAGGAGACCCCATTCCAGCAACAGCAGCAGCAGCCCCCAGGCTGGTCTCAAGCCCCGCCCAGCCCCCAGCAACTTCAAGTGAACAAGAGAAGACAGGCAAAGCATTAGGGATCCTGCAAGACAAAGGCGCCAACAGTTCCCCATCCCACCCCACCCCCATTCCCAGGTGTCCCTTATCCCAGCATGCCTGGTGCCCGCTCCTCCCTGAGACTTCCAGGGTCTACTACAGCCCCAAGACTGACAGCACAGATGACACTGCCCACTCACCGGGTGCAGGAGGAAGTAGTGGTTCTCGGGGACCGGGTCCTGGCAGAGCTCCATGATCAGGCTCTCCCCGCCCGCCTCCACCGCCAAGCACCCCTCGGGCTGGTGGGTGTTGTAGCAGATCTCCTTCCGGGATGTATACTCGAAGAACTGCAAAGGAGCCGTTTGTGGGCAACGGTTACTGTCGGCCATGGAGAAATGGACGGACACCAGGCGGGATCAGAGCGCAGGGGCCAGGCAGAGAGCCTGAGTGTCCAGTCTTGAGGGTCTGGGAGTGCCTGGCCAGAGTTCCCCAAGGCCCCCTTCTCATGCTCTGCTTCTTCCCTGGGTGTTTGAGACCCCACGCTGTCCCTACCCTTGAGCTGGCCAGAAAATGGACGGTTTCAGTAGCCGAGTGGGCAACTCTGAGGCCTGAGCTGCCCTTTCTCTTCTCTGGGCTTTTCTGCCTCTTCCCGGCAAACTTGAGGGAGTTTGATCCAAGGCAATGGCACCGTGGAATCACTAAAATGTCCTGTGCAGGCAGGAACTGCACTGCCAGGGAGAGGGCAGGCCAGGGTCACACAGGGAGACAGGGTGCTGGAATCGAGCATCTCCGGCCAAGTAGGTGCCCTCCTGAGCCGACCCAGATCTGCAGGGTTTTCCTTTTTCTTCCTCTAACTGTAGGTATTGGTGCACGGTTAGTCATAACTGCACAAACGGGTTTCTCTGGGTCCTATCGGGCACTGCTTGCTTCGTTTTCTATTTCCTAGATGTTCTACAATGAGTTGTATTACCTTTGCAGGCAGAGAATCAGTTCATCTCACTGCTCCAGAATTACATGGTGCAGGGCCAGAGGGATAATACAGTGGAGAGGGTGTTAGCCTTGCTGACCTGAGTTCAATCCCTGGCATCCCATATGGTCCCCTGAGCACTGCCAGGAGTGATTCCTGAGTGCAGAGCCAGGAGTAACCCCTGAGTAACCCCAGGTGTGACTCAAAAACAAAAATAAAAACAAACAAAGAACTACATGATGTGACCCACCAAGAGGCCAAAAGGCACAATATTCCCAAAAAAGACATCTGAGCATGCATGGATCATGCAAGAGGAAATCATCAAGTATAAACCATAAACATTCAATGATGACAATTAGTTAAAACACAGAAGCCAGAGTCTGCATAGGAGAAAGAGGGACAAGAAACTCATCTTCATCCGAAGGCGGTTTCTCCAGTTCCTCTCGGGCATATTTGCTTCACTTTCTATTTCTCAAATATTTTACAATGAGTCTCTATTACCTATATAAATTGAAGAGGTCAAATATTCACTTTTTAAAAAACACATAGATGTGCTGAAAGTAGATAAAGGACCAAACATAATGGCCTCTCAGTATCTGTACTGCAAACCATAATGCCCAAGAGCAGAGAGAGAGTAAGAAGGAAATTGTCTGCCATAGAGGCAGGGGATGGGGGTGGCAGGAGGGACACTGGGAACATTGGTGGTGGAAAATGAGCACTGGTGGAGGGATGGGTGTTTGATCATTGTATGACTGAAACTCAATCATGAAAGCCCTGTAACTGTATACCACAGTGATTCAATAAAAAAAATTAAAAAACAACAACACACATAGATTTTCCCCAATTTCCCTCTTTAAGAGGCTCCCAAGACCTTGAATCCAGGGCCCCCTGCTTCCTTTTTCCAGAGAGAAGCGTCACCTACCTGGTTCTGGCCCAGGCCGTGATAGGTGTACAGAATAACCTGGTGCCCTACAATCTGGTTTTCATCAGGAGGATTATAGTCAAAGCAAAGTCCTTGCAGTCCTTTATTGTGGAGCTACCAAGAAACATAAGGGGAGTTTCCAGTTCAGGTTTACACACAACTGAGTCAACCCAGGATGCTGCGGGAGGAGAAACAGCAAGTGAGGAGGGCCCGGGACAAGAACTAGGCCCAAAAGTAAGAGCTTCTGGGACCTGAGCGATAGTACAGAAGGTCAGATGGCTGACCTTGCACATGGACAAACACCGGCACCCCACAAGACCTCCTGAGCACCGCCAAGAGTGATCCCTGAGCGCAGAGCCTGGAGTAAATCCCTGAGCACTGCCAGGCATGGCCCCCAAACCAAAAATAAACAAATAAATAAGAGCTTCTGATATTTTTACCTATTATTAATTTATTCATTTTGGATTTTTTTTTTGGGGGGGAAGGAGGGGACCATCACATCTAGCAATGCTCAGGGCTTACTTCTGGCTCTGTGCTCAGAGATCACACCTGGTGGTGCTTGGTGGGGAATCCTATGGGGTGCTGGGGATAGTGCCCAGTTTGGTCACGTGCAAAGGCCTGAAGAGCATCATGTCCCATGATCCCCTCCAGGGCTGCGCTTGGACAAAAGAGAAATGCAGTGGGACGGGGTGGGGTGGGGATGCAGGAGACAGAGGCAGGGTGAGCAAGAGTGACACACTCCCTGGGGCAGGCAGCCCACGGCGGCCTCCTGATGCTCTCAGCACCTCGGGAGACCTGGACACTTCACAGTGGCCAAGGATTTGAACGTATTCAGAGCCCGCTGGGCGCTGACAAAGGGCTTCCAGAATGGGGGAAGCAGCGTCGCCAAGCCGTGCAGCCCAGGAGAGGGGAGTCTCTACCTTGGCGTGATTTCTCTCAAGAGTGAATGGCGCACTGGGGCCGGAGAGGGTCTGGGGGGTGAGGGCACTTGCCAGGCAGGCAACCAAGCCTCAGTCTGGCACCAACAACATCATGAGTGACCCCTGAGCACCACCGGGTGAAGCCCAACCCCAACCCCCACAGCCCAAATACTTCCCATTTGTGTGCAAGGGTTTGGAGGTGGGGCGGAACGGGTGTTTAGGCCATACTTCGAGGTACTCAAGGGCCACTCCTGACGGTGTTCAGGGGACCACGTCTGGTAAAGGGGATCAAACTAGGGTTGGCCATACAGAGGGCAAAGCTTAACCTTAACCCCGGGACTATCTCTCTGCCCCCCCCCCCCAAAGAATTCTTTTCTCTTTCTTTTGGTGAACAACAGAAGTGACTCTCCTTTTCCTGCCCCATCCTCCTGTACCCCCCCACTGGTCCCCAAGGACCCCTGCGGTGGGAATGACTAACTGGCCCAGACACTGAGACTCGGGTGTGAAGTGATGTGATGGGTAGAGGTGGTGTGGAGAGTCCAGGCAAGCCTCAGTCTCCTCATGCACAAAATCACAGGCAGAACCTGACTCTCGTTCACATGCTCCCACGTGAGCGAGCTGAGAGCCAAAGCCAGCCGGGGGAGGGGAAGAGCCGGGGAGAGGGCCGGGGCTGGGGAGCCCAAGGGACCCCATCGAGGACCTGCCTCATGCAGGGCGTGGGGACCCTGCCGGCAGCCCCCCCGGGCGCAGCCCTCTCACCATCCCGAAGCAGCCGGGCCGGTCCTCGGGCACGTGCAGCTCAGGATACACGTTCTCCAGGAACCACCTGAAGTCCTTACACTTGAGCTTCTCACGGAGCTGCTGCCTCTCGGTCACGTCTCCAAAGGACTCCTAAGGGGGGTCCATGCGGTCAGCCTGAAGGTCCTCCACAGTCCCCCACTCCACCCCACCCCAGTCCTGGGGCGTGATGATGCCCCCAAGCCCTAGCTGTGCAGGTGTGGGTGGGTGCCTAGGGAGAGAGCTGTGGCAGCCGGGGTACCACCCCCCACACACACACACACATGCGCGCGCACACACACACAGGGTTCCCCGTTGCCCAGCTCCAGCCTGGGGAGACCCAGTGCACCTCGATGGTCATGAAGCACCTAGGACATGATGGGAGCCCCAAACCCCAGCCCTGTGGGCATCCCTGGACACACAGCACTTCTTCAATGGGACAGATTGAGGAAGGCTGGGTGAGGTAGACACGCATGCAAAGCCAAGAGACGGGGCTGGGATGAGATGAGATAGTGCACATATGCATGACCCATCCCCGGCACCACACACACACACACACACACACACACACACACACACATACATACTCTGTGTTGAAGAGATAGATCAATGGTCAAGAGCATATACAGGAGGCCCAGGTCCGAGTCCCGGCACGGCAGGGAACCCCCAGCACTGAGTCAAGGGTAGACGCCAAGCACCTCCAGGTGGGGGTCAAAAGTAAAAAGGAACCAGAGAGCTCATGCAAAGGGCAGGGCGCTTGCCTGGCAGGTGGCCACCCTGCCCTGGTCCCTGCCACCTCATTTGGTTCCCAGAAAAAAAATCACCAGGCATGATCCCTGAGTGCAGAGCCTGGAAGAGGCCCTGGCGACCATGGCATGGGGCCTGACCTCCCCTCCACGACAGAAATACCCACGATCTGAAGAACATGCAGTGGCTGGAGGTAGCCGAAACCCAGCCCTGATTTTCCTAGAAGCAACAAGCTCAGGGTCCCCCAACCTGGGGTGGGCAGCATGAGCTGCTGGGTGTGATTCTCAAGGCCGGGTGGGCATCAAGAGACATCAGCAGAGGGTCATCATAACCATGGAGGAATCAAGCAGTCCCCCACTGGCCTCACCAAGGCCCACCGCAGCTTCTGCCTCCGGAAGTGGATGTGCGGGCATGGAGGGTGGAGGGAGGAGGGAGGAGGAAGGGGGGGGTTGGTTCTGAGGAGGCCTGCAGGGGTGAAGGCAGACGGGGCGGGTGGGAGGAGCTCACCAGGCGTGCGTGGGGGTTGCAGTGGTAGAAGAGCTCCTTGAACTCATCCAGCCACACTTCGGCAGCGCGGACACTGTTGGCCAGAGCCTTTTTGCGTGAGTAGGGAGCTTGCTTGGGGAAGACGTGGCCGACGTGTGAGCAGGGGTGTGTCTCCAGGGTCCCACCGCACTGCCAGATCTGCAGGGCAGCGGAGTGGCTGGGTGAGGGGAGCGGGTCCATCGGCACGGCTGTCCCTTGAGGACAGAGGCCGGGCACCAAGCATCACCCAAAGAGACACTGCTGAGAGTGCACCCTCCAGGGCATGAAACAGGCGACCCCCCCCACCCCACTCCTCACCCCACCGCCCATCCCCGCCTCACCCACCCCCATGCACACGCGGGCTCCAGAACGCAGCCAAAGAACAAGGGAGCGGCCCCAAGGTCTAGCCACCAGAACCAAGACCACAAGCCCATGCACTGCTTGCTCATGCGCGGGGCTCACAGGGCCCAGAGTGGGCCCGGCCAGGAGCCCGTGGGTGGGTGACAGTCCACATGGGCGGATTACCTGATCTCCTAGCCAGAGAAGAGAGGAAAGCAGCTAGGAAGGAGAGAAGTTGGGAAGGGGGAAAGAGGAACTGCCAGACACAGGAAGAGCAGCCTGGCACCTGGAGGAGAGGCAGAAAGACCATTAAAAGCACACCTCAAAACCCAACGAGGTAGACTCATGCAAGGGCAGAGGGGTGTGAACCACCACACCCCACCACTGGCCCCCAGGATGAACCATCCAGAAAAGCAGCTGAAGGGCTGGAGACACAGTACAATGGGGTTGGGCACCTGCCTTGCATGTACCTGACCCAGGTTCAGATTCTGGCAGCTCCGACCATCCCCTGAGCACCGCCAGGAGTGAGCCCTGAGTTTGGGTTTCAACCAAATTCAAAAAGAAAATTTTTTTTGAAAAATAAGACCCAAAAGGACAGTACCTTACGATGGGAGAAGGAAAGCCCTGCGTGGAAGATAAAATTTCTATTTGGTTCACTCTTTATGCAAAGCTGGGATGTTCTATTACTTTTCCCTCCCGTTGATCGTCGATTTGCTCGAGCGGGCCCAGTATCGTCTCCATTGGAGACTTTGTTGTTACTGTGTCTGGCATATCGAATACTCTCGGTAGCTTGCCTGGCTCTCCGAGAGGGGCGGAGGAATCGAACTCGGGTCGGCCATGTTGGCCGCGTGTAAGGCGAACGCCCTACCCGCTGTGCCATCGCTCCAAATTCCAGGGGCCAGAACACTAGTACAGCGAGTAGAGCACACTGCCTGGCATGGGGCCAACCCAGGTTCAATCCGCGGCATCCCATATGGTCCCCCGAGCACAGATAAGAGTCATCTCTGAGGGTAGAGCCCGGTGTAACCCCTGAGCACCACTGTGTGTGGCCCCAAAACAAAACAAGCAAGCAGAAAAGATGAAAAAATTTCTCACAAAAATTAAACAGAGGGGCTGGAGCGATAGCACAGTGGGTAGGGCGTTTGCCTTGCACGCGGCTGACCCAAGTTTGATTCCCAGCATCCCATATGGTCCCCCAAGCACCGCCAGGAGTAATTTCTGAGCACAGAGCCAGGAGGAACTCCTGAGCATCGCAGGGTGTGACCCAAAAAGCCAAAAAAAAAAAATTAAACAGAAATTTTTAACATCATCAAAAAGCACGACCAATGGCATATGGTCTTGAAATGTAATATGCCAGACACAAGTTCATTGGGAATCCCACGGAAATGGCGGGGGTTCTCACAGAACTGTCACTCGGGGATTCTGAGGGCAGAGGGCGGACTCAGGGGGTCACTCGTTTAGAATGTGACTCTTGCTCCGGCCTGCACGTCCAGCCACTGAACCTGACCCCTTTAACAAGCTCTCCCGAGAATCCTTCTCGGTGTCAGACTCTGAAAGTCACCCTGCTACATACATACAGAGGCGACTTCCTAAAGAGCTCAGCAATTCTGGCGACCAAAGGTGGACCAGGAGGCAGGATGCTGTGTCTGGGGCCAACCTCAGCCCAGGGCAGCAGAGGGAAAGAAAAGAATCAGGGGACCTAGGAGGTTCCTTCCCTGCCTCCTGCTTTTCTACTTAAAAGCACGTTCTGTGAGAAGGTCAGATGAGAGAAGCACATATATAGGCTGTCCACGTGTCCACTCTCAGGACACTGGACAAAAGGCCAAGGCGGGGGAAAGCCCAACAGGTTTTCATGAAATCCAGAGAGACAGAGGCATGGGGAGAGAGAGAGAGAGAGAGAGAGAGAGAGAGAGAGAGAGAGAGAGAGAGAGAGAGAGAGACAGACAAGCACGGCTACAGAAAGAGAGACAGACCCGAAAGGAGAATTCGAGGTTTTCTCCGCCCCAAACTTCCATTCCTGTATCATAAGACCCCAGATACTGAAAATATTTCTTACTCACAGCAAACAGCCCACCAGCCATTGTCGGGGACCTGGAAGAGTTGCAACACCTGCGTCTCAGTGCCGGCCGCAGGAACCCTTACCCAGGCCTGATCTGCCTTCATCAGTCTGGGAGCACTGGTGGTGGGGGGGCTCTGCTGGGAGTCCTAGCTGGGGAAGCTCCCAGACCCCTCCAAATAATCACAGAACTGGTGTGATGCATGTGCTCTCGAGGGGTCAAGGGCAGGGACAGCTGTTTCCAGGGCGGAGAGGGTACAGGCCCGGGGCGTGTCCAGTACAGAGGAATGAACGGTGCTGGGAAGGCCTCAGCATGGGCAAAGTCTAAGCATGAGAGGACCCCGGCAGCTGCAGATGGACCCGGAGAGAGGGCGGAGACAGCACATGGCTGGGAGGGTGGCGGGGTGGGCGGTGGTGGTGGTCTCACAGCAGAGCCCAGGCACTCACAGATGCAGCTGGGGGCTGCTGGAGGCCATGAAAGATGATTCTAGCACATTTTCCTGAAGCCCTCGATTCCCTCAACCCCACTGAGCAGGCATGGCATCTTCCCCGGCCCCCAGAGGTGGCTCAGGTCGAAAGCTGGAAGGGAAGCACCCCAGAGTGCAGATGTGGGTGTGGGAAACTGGTGGCAGCCGGGTCCCTGTGGTGTCACTGGGGGGTCCTCCCAGCACTGCTGGCTCAGAGTACACGGGAAAAGGCCAGTGGGACTCCTTGGTGGGGGATGGAAGAACAGGAGGGAGGGAAGACCAAGGAAGGGAGAGAAGAGAGGGAAAAGGGAGGGAGAGAAGGAGGGAGGGAGAGAAGGAGGGAGGGAGAGAGAGACGGAGGAAGGAAGGAAGGAAGGAAGGAAGGAAGGAAGGAAGGAAGGAGGGAGGGACAGAAGGAGGGAGGGAAAGAAGGAAGGAAGGAAGGAAGGAAGGAAGGAAGGAAGGAAGGAAGGAAGGAAGGAAGGAGGGACAGAAGGAGGGAGGGAAAGAAGGAAGGAAGGAAGGAAGGAAGGAAGGAAGGAAGGAAGGAAGGAGGGAGGGAGGGAGGGAGGGAGGGAGGCAAAGAAAAAAGGGAGGGAGTGAGGGAGGGAGGGAAGGAAGGAAGGAAGGAAGGAAGGAAGGAAGGAAGAAAGGAAGGAATGGGGGAGGGAAGGAGGGAAAAGGGAGGGAGGGAGGGAGGGAGGGAGGGAGGGAGGGAGGGAGGGAGGGAGGGGTGCCAGCATGAGAGCAATTTCACATGGCTTTAGGGTATAAGTCTAGGGAACAGGGTGACTGAAACACGCAAGAAAGCTGAGATGATGTGTGGAGTTCATGCACAATTCAATCAGCTAATCAGTGGCTGAATAAATAGCAGTACTCCTACATTAAAAAAAACTGAGATGAGACTGTGGGAGGGGCAGGCAACTGACCATGAAGCTGCTGCATTTGTCCATGTGTGTGGGTTTGTGCACATGTCTTCATATGTGTGCACTGGGGGAGGGGGTTGGGGGGGGAGGGAGTATGTCTCCACATCACAGGCTGCATCTGTGACCTGACACATGATCCCTCCTCCTCTGCCTCAGTCTCTAAATCTGCTGTGTGAGGAGCAATGCCAGCGGACCCCCAGTGGCCACTCCAGCAATCCGGGTGTCACCCTCAATCCGTCCTTTTTCCCAGATGTCAATCAGCTTCTCCAAATCCCCCCACAGCCCCGGAGGTCCCCCCACCCCCCAGTCTCAGCCTCCGTCTTCTCCTGCGCCCGCATTTCTGATGGGGAAGTCTGCAGAGCCTCCTAACACATGCCTGGTCCCTGCACCCCATCCTGTGCCCACCAGCTCCCTCACCACGAGGCACCAGGAGTAATTCCTGAGTGCAGAGCCAGGAGTAACCCCGAGCGTCACCAAGTGTGGCCCGAAAACTAAGCCAAACAAATGAAACAGAACGCGAGCAGCCGGGCTCAGACCCAGGCTCACCCACTGACCAACGCTGGCTCTCGGCCGCCCTCACCCTGCGCCCTCACCCATCCCCTAACTGGCTTCAGTCCCACAGAGGCCTGCCACTAAGTGCTCAGAGTCGTCACCATGGAGTCGCCACCTGACCCAGAACCCCACGCCCACTTGGACAGCCGGAAGTGGCAGCCAGCCACCTCGGGCCCTGGAGATTGGCACCAGTCCAGGGGGCAGGGCACCTGTGATATCAGTCCTCCCCGGGGCATGGCACACAACTCCTGAAAGGCGGACACACCCACCGGAGGTGAAGGGGCCAACAAAACCGGCCACGTTGACACAAGGCAGAATTATGGGTTCCCAAGGCAAACATCTCGGGACCGGCAAGAAGGCAAACGCGAAGGGACAAAGTGTGGTGGCCTCATTCGCGTGAGGCGTCTGGAAGGGGGAAAGTTTTTGTGGGGGTGTGTTAGAGGCCATTAGGGGCTGGGGTTGACACACACCGCCTGACGGTTGGAGAGATTCTGCGAGGTCGAGGGAAAAGCGCGCTTGAGTCTCCCAAGTTATATATTTAAGAACGGTCAGAGCAGTACATTTTAGGATACATACTTCACCCTATTTTTATTTATCTTGTTTTGGCTTTGGCTTTGGGATCACACCCGGCAATGCTCGGGGGCAACTTCTGGCTCTGCACTCAGGAATCACTCCTGGCGGTGCTCGGGAAACCATAACAGGGTGCCTGGGGGATCGAACCCAGGGCAAACTCCTGCAAGGCAAGCGCCCTACCCACTGAACTCTCTCTCCAGCCCCCTCACCTTTGTTTTTAAATAAACAAAATAGGCCAATGAATATGAACCCCACACTTAGAGCGGGGTGGGTGTAGAGTAAAAAAATAATCAGCAGATGCTTTAGAACAAAACCAGGTGGGGCCCCAGCAAAGCATCCCTGCCCTCCCGCGGGGTGTCTGCTGCAGTTGGGGGGGGGTGTTACGCTCCCAGCCAGTCCTGACCTGATGACATCGATGGGGGACTGCATCCGCTTCCGCTCCCGCTCAGGGACCACGTGCCACGTGAACACCAGGCACCAGTGAAAGCCACCGATCTGAGGCTCTCCGGAGTTGCCCAGGTACTCAAAAGTGTTCCAGTCAATCATGTCGATCACGGGGCACACCACCGCCGTCTCCTCCTCCCCGATCCTGCAGTGACCACACACACACACACACACACACACAAACACACACACACACTCACACACCACCCAGATATGGCCAGGACCGGAGTGACCGGGAACGCCCGCGCCCCTTCCAAGCCGTGCTCGCTCCCACTGAGGCCCAGTGTGTGCCCTCAGGTCCCCTGCTTCTGGACCCTGCATGGCATCGGTCCCCAATGCCACCCTCCAGCCTGGGATTCAGAGGGAGAGCGAGACACGACGATGGCTCTGCTCTCAGCCCCTGGCACTGGCCTGGGCCCCTGGGAGTCCAGCTGCTGGGACCCTCTTTGAAGTTGGGGAAGAGAAAGAAGCCATGAAGGAAGCCAGAGTGGGTGAGGACAGAGATGGGGAGGGTAGAGAGCAGCAGGGTGAGGCTGGGGGCCAGATGATGGACACCCACGCCTGGGAGAGAAGACAGTGGGTGCGTGTGCTCCAGAGGCCAGCTGCGCAGACCCTGAACCCCCCCCCGCATCCTTGTCCACGCCACATGGGGGCACAGCCCACCTGGAGAAGTCTGGGGGTGGCCGACAACAGTGATGCAGCATCAGGAGGGAGGAAGTGGAGGGAGTAAGGTGGGTCTGGGGGAAGGGCAGCCTGGAGTGGTTCCCCTCCCCCCTGCATTTAAAACCCTTTCAAAGAATGATACTTAAAAGCGTAGTTGAAGACTACAGGGGTAAGAAGATAAAAAATAACCCAGGCGAGGGCCATCTGCTTCCTGTCCATGATTCTGCTCATGGTTTCCTAGTGACGCTAAGGAAGGTGGGGGCCAGAGACACAGGACCCCAGGGAAGGTGCCTGCCCGACAGGTGGCTGCCCTGGTTCAATGCCCGGCACCCCATGTGGTACCCTGAACACCACCAGGAGTGATCCCTGAGCAGAGCCAAGAGTAAGCCCTGAGCACTCACGGGTAAGCCCCTTCACACACACAACTCCCCCCCCAAAAAAATACAGGGGCTGGAGCCATAACACAGTGGGTAGGGCTTTTGCCTTCCACGCGGCTGACCCGGGTTTGATTCCCAGCATCCCATAGAATCCCCTGAACACCACCAGGAATAATTCCTGAGTACATGAGCCAGGAGTGACCCCTGTGCATTGCCGGGTGCGACCCATAAAAGCAAAAAATAAATATTAAATAAATACATAAGAGAAATTACTGTGAATCACCATTTCTGTGGGTCCCTTCAGACTTGACGAGCCCCAGGCAACACAGGTACTGGATGACCTGGGAAAGTCAGCCCAGCATGAAGGAAAGACGACCAAAATGTGCTGCCTAGGGCTGTGAACTGATAAGATCCACACCATCCTGTTCTTGGCCTCTCTGCCCACGGCAGCACTTTTCGACTCAGGCACCTGACCAGCGGCAGTAAAAGCAACTCCCCTGTACCAGCTAGCCGTGGGTACAGCAGCTCCTGATGCCCTCGAAGGCTCCCAGACCAGGGTCCCTGATCATGTGACCAGGGATGGAGCCGTGGACTGAGACTGGGGGACGGGGCAGCCAGGCCGAACCCGAGGCCCACGGACCTGGGTCTCCCGTGTTCCCACTGGGCACCGCCCACGCACCTCTGCAGCAGCGGCTCCAGCCAGCCCTCGTGGCACTCGCAGTGGCAGTCCAGGAAGGTGAGGACATCGGCCTTGGCCCCCGAAGCCCCGAGCAACCGGGCGCGCACCAGGCCCTCCCTCTTGGTGGCACGGATGAGGCGCACCTTGGGCAGGTGGGCCAGCTCGGCTTCCAGGCGCTCCTTCAGGTGCTCTGGGGAGGAGAATGGTGCATCCGGCTCACTCCCGCCCTGCCCGGGCAAGGGAAGGCTGGGATGGAGAACTCTAGAACCACCAGCAACGTTCCCACGTGCCCCCCTTGGACCCAGACTCCCAGGTCTCAGGACTGTCAGGACTTGGTGCCCAGCTGGTTCTATCGGCATCGCCTCACGCTCACCTGCCCTGCACTCTGTCATGGGCAACGCTGTCATGGGCAACGCTAAATGACCCCGAATACTCTTCCCACGATTTCCAGCCGAGCACATGGCCACCACCCCAAAGACATCAGTCACCCAGGTTAAGATGTGTGATCCCCAACGCCCCACCTGGTCCTCTGAGCACACCAGGAGTGAGCCCTGAGCACAGTGCCAGGAGCAAGCCCGGAGAACGGCCCAGCGGGCCCCAGAACAAACAAGCGAGACTACAGTCCTGAGCGTCCCCTGCAGCCAGGTGTGGCCAGGTGACTGTTCTTCTGCAGGGTGGGAGGTGAGACCCCCTACTAGGTGCTGCCCAAGTCCCCTGGACACCCTTCAGTACAGGCGGGAGTGAGAGAGAGAGGGGAGGGGCAAGGCTGGGGCATCCCAGGGAGGACAGCACCCCAAAGAAGGTGAGTGTTCACCCCTGTCCCCACCCCTGGCCCCCACACCTGCCTCCACACCTGCCCTCACACCCTCCCTCACAGTTGGCCCCCAACACCTCTCCCCCACCTCTGTCCCCAAGACCTCTCTCTCACACCCACCCCCCAACACCTGCCCTCTACACCTGTTCCCCCATGCCTATAGCCCATACCTATCCCCAACACCTGTCCCCCACACCTGCTCCCACACCTGCCCTCTACAGCCATACCCCAACTGCACGGAGACGTTCCCTGTTATCTCCTGTAAATCACTGTTATCTAGAGCCTCCCAGAGAACAGCCCAGCACAGCTTTCAATTAGAATCCGTCTACAGTGAGAACCAGACAGAGCTCAGAGGCAAGAGCAGGGGAGGGGAGGATGGGCGTCAAGGGAGGGCGGGGTGGGGGGAGCGGAGGCCAGGGCAGGGTAGAGGGGAGGCCGGGCACCTCTATCGCTGTAATCATCCACCAGGATGACCTCCTCCAGCAGGATGTCTGGGGACGTCTCGAGGACACTGTAAACGGTGCGAAAGAGGGTTGACCAAGCTTCGTTATAAAACACGATGATCACGGACGTCGTTGGCAGACTTTCATAATCGTACTTCTGCTCTCTGCACCTGCAGAAGCAACACAGCCTCAGGGACGGGGAACACCCTGCACCGGGGCATCCCAGGCCTGGCACGGTGCTTCGAAGGACCTCTGAAGGGAACGTCAATCATGGTTGAGACCTGCCATAGAATTTGGCCGCATCTTCTAGAAATGCTTTGCCTTGGAGCCTCCTGGAAGCCTCGGTAGCTCCCAAGAAAGGTTGTACAACGACACCCAAAAAGCCTGAAGTCACTCTGGTAAGGGCAGGCTGGGTCTCCCTATAAGTCGTACTGTTGACATGGCCTCCAGGGCCAGATTGCCCAATGATGAACCTGGCTCAGATCCAATGCTACAGGGCCATCCCTGGGCCGGGATGGGATCCCCCAGAGCCAAACTTGATGGTGCCCAGGAGGCAGGCAGTGTCCAAGGAGGCACTTGGGTCTTTTCACACGGTCCCCTGACCCTGAGCTCTCTCCCTGCTCTGAGGTTGTGTATTTAAGCTGGGCAGCAACGCTCACAGTTGTGCCACCCAAAACCTAGGCAGGCTCCAAAGACAGGAAGACGGTTCCATCCTCAGGCTGTGCAGGTTTCACCTCTGTCCACTCCCACTTCAACCCCACTGCCCAGCTTCTACTCAGCTCTCTCCTCCTCTGCCTGGCACCCTCACTGCCCTCCTTCCAGAACCACCTGGAAAAAGCCCTGTGTGGAGAACACCTGTGTGGGGTGGCCGCTCCCTCCGGCCGTCGCCCGTTCCTGCATACCACAAACTCATGTACCCTCCACTCATCCCCTCCTCCCATGCCCCAAGTCTCCTCACAGACATGTTTGACTCATGTGAGGCTTGGGGCTGGGGCACAGGAATGCTAGGGACTCTGGTGGACACCACGGGGCAGCCTTGTGGGGAGAGGAGGTTCGGGAACACGTATATCTGGCCGAGAATCAAATCCATCTCTGATGGTGCGGCACAGGGTCACTGTGGGCTTGTGCTGTCTGGGGAGCCTGTTGGCAGTGAAGGGTTCCACACTGGGGTGAGGCTCTGGGCAGAGAAATTCCATCCAGTCCTTGAGAGGTTTGGGAAATACCTGGAGGTTTGCAGGTCCTTTACCTGAGGCATGATCTGGCCACTAGGGGGCCTGGCACCCAGGAAGAATTGGGGGCAAGGTGGGGGCTCTTCCTGGTGGGCACTGCAGCGGGGGTGTAGACACAACAGGCACCATGGGCATGTCATGTCATGTTCTGATCCATGGTGAGACCCCCACAGGACAGCTCATGCTTCATCAAGAAGCATGAGCCGTTCCCTGGCAGGACCCGCCCCACCCAATGCCACACGCCCACACAGGCTGGGATGCATCCATTTGGAGAAACAATCTTGGAAACAGGACAGTGGCTGTCAGGGAGAGTGATTCAGCCCTCTCCCCTCTCTCTCCTCTGCCACCAATTCATGATCCCCTAAACTGTCCCAGGTAGTGCCTAGAACTCAGTTGCTGACTGTTCCAGCCTCCATCCTTTCCAGGACGTCCTTTCCCAGAATAGAAAAAGTGCACTGGAGGAGGGGGAGCTCTCGGCTCAGACTTTTGCTTGGTCTGTAGCCTATGATTCTGTCTGCCAAGCCTAAGGGGAGGGAACCAAGCAGGCAACAAGAGGCAGAAGCGAAAAACTAGGCAGCTGAGAGACCCACTCTAGGAGGAGGCCAAGATGGATGGGTCAGTAATCACCAAATTTGACAAGAATCAAATGTGAGGTTTGCTCTGACAAAATGCTGAGCAAAACCAAATGGCAACCGGCTGAGTGGACAGCAACATTCCTGGAGTCAGAGATCACCTTGTCCCAGGTGAGGAAGACAAGACTTATCGCCCACCTGGTGACAGGAAGCCACCAGGCTTCATTCCAGGTTCCTTACCATTGACCCACGAACAGATGACTAGGAGCAGACCAAGACAACCCCAAAGGCCCCTTCATCTAACCCAGGGCGCGGGTGTACCGTTGCCTCACCTGAGGTTCGGAGAGTCCACCCGGGAGCGCCCCCAGTAAGATACTCCTATTTCCTTAACTTTATTTCTATGTCTCTGTCCCTCTGTATGACCCGGACGGCGTTCCCAACTCTCTCACCGAGGAAGAGAGTGAGAGCAGTTTGCCCGAGCAGGAATGGAAGAGGCTCACGGGAACGCTCAAACAATGGAGCTTAGAAACTGGAGTCACTACTGTGGGAGCACCTGAGAGCAGTAGGCACCACTGTTTGTTAGATGAAAGTTGTTACCGCAGAATCGAGGTAGCCTGTAAACAACTTACATAATTATGCTCTGACCTGCTAATGCCCGTTTGGGGGTAGCTGGATAGAGCCTGCACACGTGGAATACACTGGGATGCTTCCGGCAAACTCTTGGGTGCCACATGTGTCTTGGTGAGACTCTGTATGATCCTAAAAGGAAAAACTCCAAAGACAGTCGTTCAATGGGAGAACAGCTCTCCCCACCGGCAAGGGGTGAGAGGGGTCAAGCTGCTGATCCCCACAGTCTCCCAGCTCCCCAAACCTCAAGGCAAACCTGGACTTGGTGTTTCCAGAGCCCAGGGACCCAGAGGCCAGACACGGGGAGCTAAGCCCAGAGCCCCGTAGAGGCTGCGAGAGGGTGTGCAGGACAGGGTGAGTTGTGCAGAACCGTGAGAGTGAATGGGCGACCCCAGGCCCATGGTGCAGGTAGAGGGGCAGGGCTATGAACTGGGCACCGAGGGGTAAACCAGGAGCTGCCTGTGACTGCCCTGGGCTGCCTTACCAGGAGTGTGACTCCCAGTAGAAATGTGACTGGCAGGAAGGGGCATGGCTGACCAAATTCCTGGAAATGACTGGAACAGGATGGCTCTTCTTTCTGAGGCTTTTCCATCTGGTCTGACACATGGATCTGGACACAATTCTTGTCACCAGTAGAGTGTCACTCAGCCAAGGCTGTCCCATCAGGTCCAGGCGTGCAGGAACAAAGAGGAGTCAGGGCCTGGTTCTCTATTTCATGGGGTCTGACCGTGCTGTGATGGTGGCGGTGGGACTTGTATTAGGGAACCCGATGGTCCACACAGAAGTGGGGCGCTATTCTCAGGGATCAGCTCTGTACAGACTCGGGGACACTAGAAACATGTTCCATCCACGGCCCCATCCTGCTCCACTGATAACACAATGTCTTCCTGCCAGGGCAGGTGCCATGGAGAGGGGCCCTGGCTGAGGGGACAGCACCTTGGACCCACCTGCTGCAGGAGCACTTTCAAGTTCTCATCCTGAGAAACCTGATGTGGCCACTAGGGGGCAAAGTGGGGTCTGTCCCTGGTGCACTGCAGAGGGGAATGGGGAAACAGGCTCCAGGGGCAGGGGAGGCCATGGAGGTGCTGCAGTGGAAGGCAGGGCTCTGGGTGCTGCATCCTGCCCTCCCTCCTGGGGACGCATCCGTGATTGAGACCTTCAACCCTTGGGGTGGACTCTCCTGGGGTCATTGACAGGCTTCACACAGGGGCAGGCAGGTGAAGCGTCTTGGCATGGTGACATGGCCGAGGCTTCCCACAATCTAGAAGCAATTGTCAACTACTGGCCAGACCTGCCCCGCCCAGTGACACACACACCCACACAGGCCTGGGATAGATCCATTTATTGCAACAATCGTGAAAATCAGACAGTGGCAGTCAGGGACAAAGCCCGCCTTCCTCCTTCCCCTCTTCTCAGCCAGCAATACAAAGTCCCCAAACAGCCCCAAAGAGTGTGTAGAATCCGGTCACTGTATGGTACCAGCGGCCGAGCTTCAGGGCTGTCATGCGCAGAAACAGGACCCCACAATGGGGAGGGGAGAGCTGAGTTGTAACTTCTGACCTCCAAATCATTGTTTGCTAGTGCTGGCGCGATATAACTGCCATCCTGATCCCTCTGACCTTGTGGAGGGGGACATCTCGGCCCCTCCAATACCTGGGGTCTAGTGTGAGGGGACACATCAGCACCCCCCGATCCTGGCATCTAGTGGTGGGGGGCATCTCTGGCCCCCCTCGATCAATGGCGTCTACTGGTAGGGGGAGGCATCTCTGCTCCCCCATCCTTGGCGTCTAGTGATTGGGGGGGCATCTCTGGCCCCACCGATCCCTGGCGTCTAGTGGTGGGGGGGCATGTCTGGCCCCCCTCGATCAATGGCGTCTAGTGGTGGGGGGAGGCATCTCTGGCCCCCCCGATCCCTGGCGTCTAGTGGTTGGGGGGGCAACTCTGACCCCCCATCCCTGGCATCTAGTGGTGTGGAGGCATCACTGGCCCCCCCGATCCCTGTTGTCTAGTGGTGGGGGGGCATCTCTGGCCCCCCAATCCCTGGCGTCTAGTGGTGGGGAGGCATCACTGGCCCCCCCATCCCTGGCGTCTAGTGGTGGGGGGGCATCTCTGGACCCCCGATCCCTGGTGTCTAGTGGTGGGGAGGCATCACTGGCCCCCCCCGATCCCTGTTGTCTAGTGGTGGGGGGGCATCTCTGGCCCCCCCGATCCCTGGCGTCTAGTGGTGGGGAGGCATCACTGGCCCCCCCATCCCTGGGATCTAGTGGTGGGGGGGCATTTGTGGCCCCCCCGATCCCTGGTGTCTAGTGGTGGGGGGGCATCACTGGCCCCCCCATCCCTGGCGTCTAGTGGTGGGGGGGCATTTCTGGCCCCCCCGATCCCTGGTGTCTAGTGGTGGGGGGGCATCACTGGCCCCCCGATCCCTGGTGTCTAGTGGTGGGGGGGCATCTCTGGCTCCCCCTTGATCCTTGCCCTCTAGTGGGGGGGGAATCTCTGCCTCCCCTGATCCCTGGCGTCTAGTGATGGGGGGGCATCTCTGGCCCCCCCTTGATCCTTGCCCTCTAGTGGGGGGGGAAATCTCTGGCCCCCCCAATCCCTGGAGTCTAGTGGGGGGGGCATCTCTGGCCCCCCCTTGATCCTTGCCCTCTAGTGGGGGGGGAAATCTCTGGCCCCGCCCGATCCCTGGCGTCTAGTGGTGGGGGGGCATCTCTGGCCCCCCCTTGATCCTTGCTCTCTAGTGGG